AGCAGCGAGATTCCTTTGGGAATGAGTTGCAAGGCCTGTGCCACGTCCACTAGCACAGTGCTGCAATCAACATGATCCTGCCCGGAGCGCAGCACTCATCGCTCTGGGTTTCACCTGGCTGACAGCGGAGACGTTTTTTGGGCATTCCCAGGAAAGGCAGCCTCACCTCTAAGGTATCCTGCAGTCTTGGAGAGGCATTTGCTTCTCAAGCTTCATATCTCACCAGGCCATGAGATGGTACCACCCTCCCCAGTTCTCACCATGAAAGAAAAGCTCTGGGGGCAAAAAAGCGCTGTCGCAGATAGGTCAAATTTGTTCAAATACAGGCAAGACCCTTTTCATTCTGCCTTGGGTGCTCACCATGCTCCAAACTAATCTTCTTACGTCCATGTCCCAGTCCCTACTGTGTCCTTTATCTTTCAGAGGGAAGCCAGCAGGCACCACATCTGCAGGGTTATCACCAAACTGCAAGAACCGAGCAAAGCCTGGAGCTCACGGCCAGGAGAGCTGCAGCTTCCAAGACAGCAAGGGTGCCAGGAACGTCTTTGCCAGCCCAAGCCCAGCAAAATTGCCCATTCCAGCTCGACAGCAGCTCAAAAGCGCAGGTAAAGGACCCTGGGCTCTGCACTGAGCCACTGCCTCCTCCCCAGAACTGGGTATTCTTAGGCATTGCCAGGGAACACAAAACCTCAGCATCAACATGTGCTTAGCTAAGGTGTGTTTTACCATACTCCATTCTCTTCTCCGGGGAAGGATCTCTGCACCTGAAGTACCAGTGGGTTTTGCAGAAAGAAAGGGCATAGCTACCATGAACACCGAGCCTAGCACTATGTGATTTCCTGGTTACTTAGGACATAAGTGACAAGATTGCTGCTAGCCTTCCTCATTTGGAGGGACCACAGATGGGGCAACAAGAACAGGCTTTAAGGAGAAATACTAGAAAAAGCAAGCAGTTGGGTGCTCCAGCAGCAGGCACCCTACAGAAGCACCTCTGAACAGCCTTCCCTGGATACAAATTCTGGAAGGGAAAACAGGATACCAGAGGGTTTTGCCTGTCCTCCTCCCAGAGCAGTTGCCTAACAAGATGTGCCTGCTGCCTAATCCTTCAAGCAATCCCGACGAATCCCCAGGCTGACTCCAGAGGGAGTTCTCCATTTCAACGACTTCCTGGAAAACTTCTTATCTCGCCAGGCAGCTCCAGAGCACACCTGATAACCATTACAGGAAGCGAGCACAGCCCCCACGGCTGCCTCCCCCTGCCTCAGCCCGTGGGGCTCTCCCCTGCCTGCTGGCAGCTCTTCCTCCCCCAAGTCTGTGCTGATGAATGGCCACAGGCGAGACTCAGGCCTGGACATTAAAGGCACATTGAGTCCTCAAACATTTTGAGCCAGAAAACGCTGTAAAAACTTCTATGTTGGCTGGCAGAGACAGATGACACTCCAGAAAGCTGCTCCTGAATTTGGCATTTCTCATAGTGTTTCTTAGGGGTGCCTACCTTTAATATCAGGGCCCAGCTGCTGCTGTAAGCAAAGTTCAACACCATCTACCAAAGACTGCAGCATCCAAGAGCATCTGGAGCTGCCTTCAAGCCCTACCAAGCCTTCTACTGTACAGATCAACACCCACTATCTGCTCAGGAGAGCAGATAAACTCTGCACCTCTGAGTACCTCTCCTGTGCCCTGAGTACTCCCTCACACCCACACAAGCCGTCTGCAGGTCTGAAAGCATTTCAGATGTTTACGTGGGATGGCAGATACCAGGAGAGACTGTGCTTCAGAACTGTGATGTGCCAGTGCGGACAGAGAGCAGAGAGCACGTGCTGGGGATGGCTCCCTTCCTTTCTTTTAACAGATGTTCAGGTTTTGGCAAGATCCAGCTGTCCTGCCTCACGACGGTATCACTTCCAGTGTTTGACAGCTAAATCCTTCACACCAAGTCTCCTTTGTCAATGAAAACTTTGCTGAGGAAAGCTACTCAGAAGGGAGCACTGTCTTGGCATGTGGAAGGGCTCCTGAAACTGCTCCCAGCTGAGCTGACATCACTCTGCAGCTTGGCGGCCTCATTTGCCAACACAAGAAGAAAAATGCTGGTGGGAGACGTCCAGACAGTGGGCAGTGGGACCAAATCAGTCTGAGGGTTGCTGCAGCAGAGCAGATTGTCCTTCTGACAGCAGGACGTTGCTTCACCCCTGCCCCTCCAGCCCTCTTTCACTGAAAGCTTGGCCATTGCATTGCACGATCCCTCCTGAACAGGATGTCACACACTCTACCCCCCATTTTGTAAAAGGCAGCTTGTTACCAAGTGCTTTACAAGCTAATAGGAAATCTTCAGTCTTCTTTTTTTTTTTTTAACCCTCTCGTCCAGAGAAACCCTGCTCTATGCCATTGTTTGCTGGATACTTGTAAGATGGAGAGTTGCCTCATGGCCTTAAAGTGAAGCCGAGTATAGCACAAGAACATGGAGAAAGACACTGAATTGAAGCATGTGGAAAACCCCCTTCGAGAGCCATCTCACCGGTCTCACACAACTCACCTGGTGCCTCCAAAGAGAATGATTTTGTCCCCCACTCTGCAGCAGCACTGCCGGCGTCGAGGACATGGGCCTTTTCCTTTGGGCTCAATCTTCCTCCAAGAAAAAGAAACTAAGGGGGGAAAAATGCAGCAGCTTCTCATAAGAGCCTGCTATAGGCAGGTTAGGGATTTAAACAAAGCACAGGGAGAGAAAAAAAAAAAAAAAAGAGAGAGGCCTACTGCCTTGCAGCTGCTCACTAGCCAACCTGTCTGCTGCCCCTTTTTGCTGCAGAGGTGGAACAGCACAGTGGCAAGTTCTGCCCTTGCAACACGACGAGGATTTTCACCTATAGCGCCCAGCAGCGGGCCAGGAGCCACAGGGGGTGAAGCTGCTGGTGCAGGCGGCCTTGCTGGCACCCCGGCGTGGCTCTGCTCTGCAGGGAGACCCAGGGATGCTGCTCCATCTGCTGGTAGCTGCAGAAAATGCAAAGCGTCCCTGGCCTTGGGGAGAGCGTGGGAAGTTAAACAAGGTGGAGAACACATCAAGGCTTGCCACTCACCATGGCAAGGACACTGAGGGGGAACTAAGCTGTGCTGTGCAGCACTAATCTTCAGGAGTCAGTCACAGATCAGCTGGGAAAAACAGCAAATCAGCTGCTCTCAGATAACCACATAACATCGTAACATAAGATTTCATTGTACAAAGCAGTCAGCAAACCATTTTCATGGACTGCCAAAAGTACCTGAGTAAGGGGGGGGACTTCATACAGCTCACTGATATTCAGGGCATCACCATTTCTGCTGCACAGTTTTAACTACTGGTACCAGGACAGTGCGGTGTGGGGATACTGGCAGCTCAAATTGAGTGGTTTCTACAACTACAGCCTCTGGGATCCCCTAGGCCCAATGCTTAAAAAAGTTAGAAGTTGAAGTACCTGGATTGAATTTCCAGAGGTCATGAAAGTGTCTGTTCAGGCGTGCGTTGTAGCCACCAAACACGTAGAGCTCCCCGTTGTAGCTAACTGAGGGGGCAAGCACAGACATGAGCGTGACACCAGCGCTGAGACCAGCTGAGACCCGTTCCAACATCAAACATGAAGCAAAGGGGTGCCGCTTGTCTCCCTTAGTTTACATCATGATCACATGCAGGGAGAGAGGCCAGGCTTTGCAAGAGGCAGCAGCTTTCCACAACACCCAGGCCCTGCATGTCATTTACCTTTAGACACCTCCACCCAGCCCACCAGACACCCCTTTTCTGGGGTGAGGGAAATGCCCTTCCCCTGTCCCCCTTGTCAGCAGCTCCATACTCACAGGCTGAATGACTCCGCCGGCCTTCAGGGAGCACTGGAGTTGGCGGGGAGTCAAGCCAGGAGTTTGTTTCTGTGTCAAATACTTTAATCCGGTTGCAGTAGATCTCATTGTTGGAATGAAACGGCCCAAACCGATCAGCTCTGCCACCAAACACATACATCTTTGTTCCGATGATGGTAGCCGAATGGAAGTCTCTCCAACGAGCTGGTGTGCCCTGCAAAACCAGATCCAAACAGAATAAGGAAAAGAGCAGGCAGATTACTCGGTGAGAGGAGGCATCCCAGTGAGGAAGTTGGGGTGGCTGCCTGATCTTGGAGAACTTCTGAAGATTGCAGGCATTTGAGACAACCTGTGAGACAGCGGTGAGCAGCCCCGCAAAGCGTGGCAGAGACAGGGCTTGTCCCGCAAATGGGAGTGAAGGAAAAAAAAAAACAAACACTGACCTTGGCAGAGATTAAGGTCCACATCATGCTCGTGGTGTCCAATTTATGGATGTCATTAGAAAAGCAGTCGGCCTGGAAGAATAGCAGTATGGCCTGGTCACCAAGGGACTGGGCGGCCTGGTCGCCCTGGCCCCTGGAAAGGACACTCTCCTGGAGATCTGAGCATCCCTGCGGAGTCAGCACTTCCAGAAAGATAGGGTGCTAGCTCCAAAATGTCAGGAGAAGCAGCATATTCATCACCTCCCAACAGGGAGGTGAGGTTCATTTCTCCTCAAAGCTGTCCCTTCTTTCTCTTGAGTTTCTCAGTTTATCTGATACTCACTTGCCATCACCAAGGCTACATGCAACGTGTATTCCCAGCAGTACCTGCCCCTTCCCTGCAGGGACAGATGAAGGGAGCTCTGCAGTGCACGGTCCTGATTGACTCTGCTAAGGCCACATGATAAGAGGCAGAAGGCTGAGGTTGTTCCTAGGAAGCCGTATAGCTAGGAGCAAATGCTGTGGGGCCCTGAGGATCCCACAAAACCCATCTGCCATTAGCAGCATGGAGAGGCCTGAGTTCATACAGGAGACTGCACAGTCTCCAGCAGATGAGACAACACCAAGATAGCTACAGACTTGTCTGACCTTCGCTAAAAAATAACATAAAAGATAAAAACAAAAAAAAATCCATTAAAAAATGTTTGTACTGGTGCTGAAATCAAGGTTATGGCTCTGGTACTGCTATACTACCTGGAAGAAGGGGAATATCACAGAGTCTGCAATAACAGAGCTCCAGCTTCCTTGCAGACAGGCAGAGACTTTGCAACTTTGCATAGATTTATGGAGCCTGGTGATAATCTGAAATTATGTTTATCAACTAGTTAAGAACAGAGCATAAGGATTTGCTCCAAGGAGTGTTAAGGTCATCCAGCACACCGATGGTTAGTGCTGGATGACATTCAGCAAAAAGTGCTCTTAAGTGGGAGGACAAATAAGCACTCACTGAACAGCTCAGCAAGGTGTGAGAACAGGTACAAAACACAGGAAACATGCACCAGATTGGGACCAAACTGCAAACATTGGAAAGGGATTTTTTTTCTGGCTCATTTTTCAGCCAAATTAAAATAAATATAGATCTATCTATCTATCTATCTATCTATATATAAGTATAAAGTATGTAAGTATTTATCTTTATTTAAATTTGGCTGAGAATTGAGTCAGAAAATATAGAAGTCTAGAACACTAAAGCACAATTACTTTTAACCCCACAATCTCTCAGATACAGAAAGCATCCCCTAACCTGTTAGGTAGCACACTTACCAAGACATAGGCAAACATGTTTTGCCTCCAAGAGTAAAATATATTGTATTGAAAAACAAAACAAAACAAAAAAAAAAACCAAGCAGCAGGGCAAAAACAATAAAAACTCCAGTCTTTGTAGACCTGCTTTCTCAACTATCCTCTTCACAAAAACAGCCGCTTAACTGGATGATTTATGTCATAGCTTCACGGAGTTATGAAATGAAAGCAACTCTACATGCAAACACCCTTTTACCCTGCCTCTACTCGTGTCCAGGACAGGAAGACCCTCTCCCTCCCAGGGGCTGACAAACAGCAATCACAGAGACTACTCACCAGCTGCTCGTAGCCTCCAAAGATAAACATGTTCTTTGCCAGGACACAAGCCGAGTGTCCATCCCTCGCTCCTGGGACCATTCCAGTCACCTTTGGTGTGAACCATTTGTGCGTGTCTAAAAGAAAACAGAGGCGATGCTAAGATAACACCAGAGATGTGGGCAGGGGGGTAGCTCTTTACTACCATTCTTCATGGGCAAGGAAGATGTTATTTTGGAGACAAACAGTCCTTTCCTCCTTCATGCAGAGCACACATGCTTCTCCAGGCAGGGAGATCCCAAGCTTCCTCAAGCAAGGCCAGCTGCCTGAGCCTCCTCAGAGGGGGCACCTCAGACCCAGGGCAAGGCTGCTGACTCTGCCAAACCCTACGATAAACTCACGTTTCAAGCCCAGCACTGCTTGAGCAATGTTATCGGTATTGAATCTCTTGCAAAGCCGGGTAGCGAGTCACTTATCAGCTCTGCCTTTACAGTTTCAGTTAAAATAAAGGGATGATGCCAAATGGCCCAAGGGACCTCGCAGCTTAGAGATGCTATAAGTGACAAACAGTGCTCTAAAACCCAGCCTGAGGTCAGTCAGCCACTTGCATCCAGAGCTACATCCTCACCTCTACAGTCCTGCTGCTCCTATCTTATCTGCTCCTGTTTTTACCTCCTCTTTGAGAGGAGCCTTCCCTGCTCTCCACCCTTCAGCAGTCCCACTTGTCTGCTCCTCGCACACTGCTCCCTGAGAGGCTCTGCTGGCCAGATTCATCCCCTAACCCTACGTACTCCAGCGACTGGCCTCATGTAGGGGAGGACTTTAAATCCAGCCGGAGTTGGTCTCCATGCAGGGCAATGTGGAATGGAGCCAGCGACTCTCTGCCAAGCACAGAGAGGCACCTGTCCGAGAGGCACAGGACAGCATGAGACACCCCCGCCCCTCCATGCTCCATAAACGTAGCCAAGAGCGGTGCTTATTTCAGGAATTGGCAAATTCAGAGCCAAAGCAACCCTCTCTGGGAGAGGATAACTTCTCTGAACTGGCCTTTGGCCACAGGTCTCTACCTAAGCCCCAGCTGGAATTGCACAAAAGGGCTTGCAAGGCCACCGAAATCCCTGTGAACCTGCACACAAGTGACCTGTGGTGGCTGCTGGGTCCCTGTCCTTCACAGGGCTCTTCTAAGCCCAGTCACATGGCAGCAGTGAGAGCTCAACCAAGTACAGTGTGTCAAATCGGAGACGGGAAAGAGCTCAGCTTACGATCAGCACCTCTGTTGCCAGAGGGGAAAGCTGCCCTCAGCCAGGCCTCGATCCTGATGAAACCCATACAATGGGGCTTCCTTGGCAGTTGGAGGAGTGCCAGACTTGCTTTCCAGGACTGGCAGGGGACAGGGACAGTGTGTACAGACAGCTGCACACGGCTTGGACCAGGACTGAAGCCTGGCTTTTCAGTTAATTTTCACTTAACGCTAAAGTGTTTGATTTGGCAGGGACATCAGGCAGCTCCCCCTGCAAGGCCTTTGTGCATACAGAGGTTTACTGGTGGCTTCTCAGCTGCATGTGCCAGAGGCAGAGAAGGAAATTTCCCAGAAAGCAGCTCCCAAGCAGTGAGATCTTCCCTCACATGGAATGGAACCGGTGGCCAAGCACTTCTACTGTAGGCCCATCAAGGCTGTTCCTGGCCAGTGTTTAGCTTGGACTTGCCTCCAGAATCCAGACATAACCCTCCGCCCACTTGCCCAACACTCCTACCCATGCAGTGCTTCCCAGATGTTCCAACAACACAACGAAGAAGCCAACAGAACGGCTCAAGGAGTTCTCTCTTAGGTTTATCCAAGTTGGCTCATGTTTGCCTTTGTTCTTCCATCCTGTCCCTGACTGCTTCTGTATTTTATTCCTCACTCTGCTTCATTCTTACAGATAGAAGGGCCACCCCAGAGAAGACCCATGGTCCTCAAGAGCTCCATCCCCTTTATGCTGCAACCTTCAGCCACAGTTAAGGAATGGTGTATCACAGAGAGGGGTAGCTTCAGTTGTAGTTACTACTAGAGAGAGCACACGACGTCAACAGAAAAATTAAAAGTCATTTGGCTATGAGACAAGTTTAGTCATTTTTGTTCAAAGGCTTTTACAGAGTCAAGTGTCCAGGCACACAGACCACCTGCTCCTCTTTCAAACCTGCTGAGCCAGTTGTAGACACCATGCCCCTCCTGTTCTTCATAACATAGTGATTCCTCATCTGCCCCATTAGCCCCACACTACCACTTTGCAGAGACATCAAGCAACAGGACAGTGAGCTGCAGAGCAGTGCAGTGGAGCAGAGAGAGGGTCTCATCAAGAGCAGTCAGGACAAGGAAGGACAACAAGTTGGAACTTACTGACATCAAAGGCATAGAGAACATTGCAGGCTCCTTCAGTGTCGTTGCGACCACCCCATATGTAGATGGTGTCATCTATGAGCACTGCTGAGTGCCCATACCTCATATAGGGCACCTCTCTCACGTGGTCTCGGCTGTTTGTCCACACCGGAGGCAGCTTGATCCAGCGCAGAGACACTGAAAGAGGAAGTTCAAGCCAATGTCAAATGCCACCCTGCTACACAGACCTTAGCCCCTTGCCCCCACCCACACCTCTTGGTGTTACAGACATCTCCCTGGTGATCTGGGGTTACTAATAGGAGTTGTTTGTGATTACAGGTTCCACTTCCGGGGAGCCAGCGTGTCATGTTCGGTAGTAGTCAGAGCAGTCAACATGTATCACAGGGCTTAATGACAGCACAAGAGTCACAAAAAGTATTGCAGTCATTACATAACACCATCCAGACACAGTCCTTCAGCCACGCATACTGCTTCCACTTTTGTCTCCCACGAGGTGATAACACAAATACAACTGAACACAGGCAGGCTGCAGCTCCCCTAAAATACCCATACAGCAAAAGCAAAAAGATCAGGCATTTTAAAAGGTGGATGTCGAACTCAGAGGGAAGAAGGACATCGAGGAAGCACAGCCATGCTAAGGTCAAGTTACACAGTGTACTCCCCACCTGTAACACAGTCCTGCTCTGTGGACCATTGAAGACGGTGTGTTGAGCCTAGACCTGACAGTGTTGGCTGACTAAGGGTTTGGGAAGCCAGCGTGACTGCAGCCCCATCCCTCCCAAGCAGTGGCTGCAGCATCATGACCCTTTCATGTTTGGGAGTGGCAAGAAGGGAGGAAGAGGCAAGAGCATTCATCTGGGCACGTTAATTATGCTTTTGCCATAAGCGTTCAAGTGCCCGGTCCGCGAGAACCCAGTCTCCCTGCCTACAGCCGGGGATCTTTGTGAGATCCCGAGTGTTTGTCCCCTCTGCACTGCGAGCTGATCATCTCCACTGACAAACAGTGCTCTGTTTGGCATGCTGTCCGGTCTGGAAAAACACGAGGTATTGGTCCTCTGCTTCTGTCCCTCCTCAAGTTCATCTTCTCATCTGTTCAGCTGGACGCATCCAAGCACCTGTGTAGTTTTTCAGCCACTTGCCTAATGACAGGGAAATGTCCCACAGACAGATGACTCCAACTGGTTCCCAACACACCGGTTACCTTAAAGGAATAACTCCAGCTCCAGTTGCTTCACTGAGCCACATTGTGAATCTTCACCACAACTAGTGGCTAGATATGGAAAGCAGAAGGCCGACATCCTGCCACTTCCACCACGCCAGCAGCAGTTGTTAGACACCACCACAGTGAAATGGCTCGGAAATTTAAGTCTGAAGACTTAACCTGGTGTACTGGCACTTCCATGTTATGGAAGAGCCAGCCAGGTTTTGAGCCAGCAGCGTGACCCTGCAGCCAAGAAGCCCAGTGGTGTCCTGGGGCACAGTAGGTAGAGCGTTGCCAGCAGGTCAAGGGGGGTGATCCTGCCCCTCAGCCCTGATAAGGCCACATCTGCAGTGCTGAGTCCAGTGCTGGGCTCCCCAGTACTACAGCACCATGGAGCTCCTGGAGAGAGTCCAGTGCAGGACTACAAAAATACAGGGTGGCTCAAAGGAAGAGGCTCCAGCTGACACGGATAAATGTTTTGGAAATTAACTGGACATGCGATAGAGCATGCAATCCCCCTGCTCAGCAGGAGTGGGCCAGACGACGCGAGCCCAGCCAGCCATTCCCTCACGCACCAAAAGGATGTCTCCCCCTCACCTGCATTAAACACGTGGACGTCGATCTGCCGCAGGGTCTCATAGTCTTCTCCAGAGCAATAGCCGCCGAAGGAATAGACCTTGTGCCCGACGGCCACGGCGGCGTGGTTCACCCTCCGGGGTCCACCTTCCAAGTGCACTGCCCACCGGAGCATTCCTCCCCGTGAGCCTGCCGGCCGTCAGGGTCCCCCGGGCCACAGCCTCATGCTTCTTGGGCCACCATCGTGCTGCGCAGACGTCACCTGCGTATTAAAGAGTAAAGAGCGTATTAAAATAACGCCGTCCACCTCGCAGTTCTTCTTGCCACGCTGGCTATAAAGTCACATTGCCACAACCGCACTCAAGTCCCCACCACAGAAGGTCTTGCTCTCCGCTGGGGAAGGGAGCACAAAGAAGGTCTTGTAAGCCAAGCAAAGCTAGGACTGCTTGGCATCGTTGGCTCGAGCACTAGGGGCCAGCTTAATTAATATACTTCCCCCCACGCTTTCTCAAGTCCTTTCCCATTTGGAAAGCAGTGAGTTTTTGCAAGGCAAACTTTCCTCCTTTCTGAAGTTTCCGAAGGAGCCAGAAAGCAGCTAGGGCGCGCGGAGCCGTGGGGCTTTCCCCAGCCCTCCCGGGCCGCAGCTCGCAAGCCGGGCGGCTGCAGCCCGTCACGGGGCTGAGCCTGAAAAGAGCCGGAAAAGAAAAGGCAAACACAAACAAACAAACAAACTCCAAAATGAAACAACCTTCCACAAAATCCCTTCTGCGTTAAGTGATTTTATAAGAGACCTTTCAAGTAGCTTAAGTGGACTTGATAGCTCAGTGTCAATATTTTCAGCACCCTTAAGACAGAGCCTGATCCTGGAGAGTTACAAGTGTGAATTTAACATGGCTAAGTGCTTTCTACTTGCTTCTTGCAGGGCTAAAAGAGCAAAAGGGCACAGTTGGGCAGCTCTCCTTCACTTCAGGGAATTCACTTGGGGATGTTTGCCCAAGGTATTTGTTATTACCAGATCAGGATGATCTTCCTTTCACTTAATATATTGCTGCCTGCAAGAGTTGGCTTCCCTGCCTGAACAGTTTCAAAATTAAGATTAGTCACATGAATGCAAGAAATTAAGGCTATACATCCTACAAAGTTGATCTGGTCAACTGAGACTTGAACTCCTGTTGGTCACGCTGTAGGAACAATGCTCATGCTGTAGCAACAATGTCAAAATGCTGTTTGCAAAACAGGTTTATAGACACCCAAGATGCTGGTGGGGATGATCACATTCTTTAGGTTAGGGCTTACAGTTCAAATCTAATCTTACTGTTTATTATAAAGGTGGTAATTAAGAAACTGTTTTTACTGTGATTCAACAGACCCAGGCTATGTCTCGAAACTCATTTGCTTTATAAGAAAAGCAAAAAAACACAAGTCAGACATACAGAGTGATCTTTACAGGCTCATATATTAGAGAACAAAACACAAGATTCAGCCAACTGTCATGAAAAGTTCCTTTTTTTTAATGAAAAGTTCCTTTTTTTTTTTTTTTGCCAGCCACAAGGTTTGGTGCTCTTCTCTAGGAACTGCATTTCCACTAAAAGCAGTTTTATAAACTGCTACACTCCACTTGTCGCTTCTGCACAGGCCACAAGCCCACGCTGAAAGTGTCACTAGCCCTCCTGCCTTTGCCGAGTGACCAGGACACTTGTCCTTCCCTTCTCAGTCATGTCCAGGTTCTCCTTCTCCCCCAGCTTACGGTCACCTTCCCACCAAGGCCCTGCCCTCCTCCTCTGCACCCCGCTTTTTATGAAGTTCTCCACAATACCCACGAGCATGAGGCTTTTTTTGGTGGGGAAAAACATTTACTTCCTGCCCTACACCCTACATCCCCGCATGAGATAATCTCCATTTCAGGAATTTGAGAGCCAATATTAATTTACAGGATTTAGATAAGGACATAAATATGGCCTGAAGGCACGGATAGTGCCCAGAAAAACCCTCCTTCCCATGGCCCAGCTTGCACCTCACCTGTACAGCACGCAGGTGCCCAAAACCCAGCAGAAAACTCATCCAGCAATCTCCCACAAGAATATTGTCTAACCTTGTTGGGGCCACCAGAGCAGAGTGGCATAGATAATAATAAAGAAGAAAAAAAGAACTTTTTTTTTTCTTCCAGAGATCTCCCTTTTAGCTGTTCTGTTTGCTGTAGCTCTCTATTTTCAAGCCTTACAATTAACTACAAAAAAACATTTTGAAAACGGGAGGCTTTGAGCCCTGTAGCCAGAGTGCAAGCCCCGAGCACAACACACGTTCTGGAACTCGCCCCTTTGCACAGGGGCTCGCTGGGCCGGCTCGCTCCTCTGCACCGCAAAAAAGAAACTCGGGGCGTTTCTACAACGCAAGAGGGAAGCGCCGAGAACACGAGTGATTCCCCGTGGAGGGGAGAGAAGCGTCACAGGAGCAGCCAGGGCTTTCCAGGGCTGCGTCCCCGTCACCCCCGGAGTTGCGGGGCCACCATCCCGAGCGCTGCAGCCTTCAGCCCCTTCCTAAGTCACGCCGGAGAGCAAATCCCTACCGTGTGCGGTCGCCTCCGTCCTCTGGCTCCCCAAAAGCGCCAGCCACAAGGTTTAGTAATGCTTAAAATAGCCCAAGCAGCTCACAGCAGCCCATATGGATGGTGCTATTTCCAGCACCTCCAACTTACAGTCAGAGAGAGCACGAGAACGAGGCGATTTCTTCGCTCGCGCTTGACATTTGCGCGCTGCTTTGGCTATTTATGCTACGGCGGGATGAAACTGCCAGCTTGCACATTTGGCAGCGATGTAATTTCGGTGCCAGGACAACGAGGCCGTCCTAGAAGAGCGCCCGAGGCTCGTTAGCGTGGACGGGGCTCGTTTTACACCCCGGGAATCTCAAACGCTCCAGCATGAATTCACCTCCGCGTCTCTCCCTGCAGGCAGCGGGCTTATTTTCACCCGCGGCTCGGCACCTCCCGCAGCGGGTTTCTCCCTTGCCTCGTCCCCCCGGCCTCCCTCTCCCACGAGCGTTTCCCCGAAGCCGGCGCGGTGACACCGAGGGTGGCGGGGCGAGGACGGTCACCGCGACGCCCCTCGCCTCAAAACTCTCCCCCAGCGCCAACGCCCCCGGGGCGGGAAGG